CAAGGTCATTGACAACCCAAGGTCATTGACCCCTCAAGGTCATTGACCCCTCAAGGTCATTGACCCCGCAAGGTCATTGACCCGTCAAGGTCATTGACCCGTCAAGGTCATTGACCCCTCAAGGTCATTGGCCCCTCAAAGTCATTGGCCCCTCAAGGTCATTGACCTCTCTCATAATATTGCCCAAAAGAGAAGTATCGTATAAAAACTTAATTATAGGGTATCTAAGCAGCTTACATTCCTTCTAATTGAACTTTTAACCCTCAAAGAGCTATAGAGCAAATGCATTTTAGACATACAAGTATATATATAAATCTGCATTACTTTTTCAATAATTATTTCAGAGCTAAAAAGAGTTTACATGTTTGTTTTTCTTCGGTTTTCCATTTGTAATTCCCAACTGATTCAACACTTAAAAAATGTGCAAATCTCTAGCAAGCATTGCTGCAAAGTAAGCGCTCGATTCCCACAGCTATTTGGCTCGAACACATCGACGTTCTGGCTCAGCTCTGGAGAATTGTCTAGCTACAGATTCTCGTGTTGATTCTGATGGAACTGGGACTTGGCGTTTGAGTATTTGCCACGCCCACCTACACCCACTCACACTTCGAGTCGTAGCATTTTAATTTGATACAAGTGATATTATGCAACACACACAGAGAAATAAATTTGATATGCGACATTTACTTAGCTTGATTGCCAAACAATGCAAAAAAAAAAAAAAAAAAAAAATGCGACGAAAATCAACAACAATGTAGGGAATATGGCAAGCGAGATAAGAAGATAAAGGAGGAGAGAAAAAAAAAAAAACAAAAGTATGAGCTGGCATCAACATTTGTTATGCGTGTGCAAATACCTTTTGCATAAATATGCCTGATTTCATATTCGAATGAGTTTTCATCGACATGATTGCAAAGCTCTCGCGTGAAAGGAAAAGTCAAGATCTGCTCAGTCCAGATTTTTGTTATCCCTATTGATACAGTATATCAAATTTGAATAAAAATGGTTGTGAAAGCTCAGATTTGCATAGGGATTATGGTTGAAGGATTAGAGCTTATGGTTAATAGAATAACTTTTTCAATCAGCCTGATGATGGCTTATTAATGTGATATGAAGGAAAATACATCATTGGGTAATTTAGGAATATATTTTAATATCGATTACATTAAAGTCATGTCATTTTAGGTTAAGAGAATTTTTATAGATATAGATATATATATGCCCACTAGGGGCGTGAAACTGCATCTTGTACAGTTTTAGAGCTACATATATAGAGATACGAATTGGGGGCGTGGCCAAGCCGAAAATGATTCTAAATAACTTTGGGCCGTGAATAAGTATTCTACAGTCGGTAATGCCTGACTGCAAGGTTATTACTGTAGTACTGCTGGGAATTGTTTAATATTTATTTTAAAATAAAAAATTTAATTTAAATTTTAGATAAATTAATTTCCGATTAAAATATTACTGTATGAATTTATCTAAAATTTGTTTGAAAATTGTTTTGAACTCCATTATTTATCAGGTGAAATGTTGCCCTCCCTCTGCTTCTTTTCCAAGCTAAAGTAACTGTTTTTTTATTGAGGGTATTCCCTATGGCAGCTGCGCCCGTTTTCAATGCTTTTTAGGCATATTTAATATTTATGTATTAACACACATCGTTCATACACTTGGCTTTATTTAGCATTTCTATCGCAGTCAATCTGTAATGCATCAGCTCACTCTCACTCTCACTCTGCCTCTCGCTCACACTCTCTTTCTTTCTCTTGCAGGTAAGTTTGACATTGATGGACTACATAAGCTATTGCGCCCGACGATGGATGCTGATAATGAACAGTTAGCTTGGGTAAATAAAGGATGATTTTGTATGTGTGTGAGTATGTGTTTGTGTGCGTGGGAATGTGTGTTAACGGCATTTTTGTAACATTGTGCCAGAATTTGTCTTTTGTGACTGGAGCTTGGGAATAGACTTCGAGCAATTGCTGCACGTCACCCACGCAAATATTTGTCGCACACTGTGAGTGGGCATGGGCGTGGGCGTGGATGTGGGCGTACGCCTCGACGCTTGACCTTTGGCCAGATGGACAAATGGACGGCTGGTCAGTGTCCTATTCACACGCCTCCAGCACTTTGTTCGGCTTGGGTCACAAATTTGATTTACCGAGGGAAGGAAAACAGAAGGAAAATTTTCGACACCTGTAAAAATTTGCTGGAAACTTTTGTGTGTGTGTGTGTGTTTTTTTAAGCTGCCGCAAAAGTGTCGCATACGCTGATGGGTAATTACCATAAGATGGCGGCTAAAAGCCAAGCGTGGAGCTATTTTTTTATTCTTGGGCAACTGCTAACAAAAGTGGGCCAAAAGTTGAGCAAAACTTTTCATTAGTTTGTCTTTTTTGTGTTTTGCTTACCGCTAAGCTAAAAGTTTGTAAAGCAGCTCTCGGAAAAATAAAACCAACTTTGACATATCTGTGGGAAAAACAGGCTGAAAGTGAGATATCAACAGACATTTTATAGCTAGGAAAATATTAAAGCAGAGAAATGGCTAGGGGGAAAATAGGAAGGAAACTAATGGATAAGCTGAAGACGTAAGGAAATGCGCTGTCAGCGTAAAATGTTAACTAAATGTTAGTGCAATGTTATATCACTTAAAATGAAAAAGGGGATAAATATATTATTCACAGATATTATAGAGCATACCAGGATAAGATATAGGATGGATAGTAAGATATAGATAGATAGAGAGATAGATAGATGGATAGATAGATAAATATAGACAGATAAATGGTTGGATGGATAGATATAGACAGATAAATGGTTGGATGGATAGATATAGATAGATAGATAGACAAATAGATAGATATAGATAGATATATAGATACAGATGGATAGATAGAATGATAGGTAGATGGAGAGTATAAGGTATTAAATAGATAAATAGCTAGATAGTTAAGTTGACCTATTGGATAAATATATGATAATATATAATAAATGATTTGTAGTTTTGAAAGCTTATAAAAAATCTACACAACTCATACAATAATATAACAACTCATATAACATATATACTTATCAAACCGCCCTCTGTGCGGACATTAAACGAAAATCAAATAAGAAATAAAATCTGAAATGCAAATTGAAGGAAAGAAATAAGTAGGAAAAATAGAAACGAAATTATAAATATGCATGAAAGCTTTAAATTCAATAAGAACTTTGGTCGTTGGGCTTCAGCTTCAACTGTTTTTTTTTTTATTTTGTCTCAAAATATTTAAAGAGCAAAATTTCATTGCTGTGAAATCAAATCAAATGGAAAATCGTGCAGAAAAAGAACAAATCAAACAAATAGAAATTAAATTACACAGTGGAATTGATAATATGAGTGAAATGTGAAGAGCAGCTAAATATATATGTAAATGAAATTTTTAGATTTCTCATGTAAGTTATACATTTTTGTCTATTCAGTGTAATATACATATATAAATATTTTTAACAATACGTATGTATATATTTTTCATATTTTTGTGTAGCTTATTTTATGTAATTTTTTTTATTTAAACAATTTTTTTTTTGTTTTTGCTTTTAGATCTGTTTAGCCCATTTTTTTTTTTTATTTTCTACTTATTTGTTTTTTGCGCTCTGTGCCACTGTGCACAATGCGCCTAAAAGCATGCCACGCAAAATATGCAAATGACGCTGATGCGCGTGTAGAAATCAAGAGAGGGAGAGAAAAGGCGGCCGATAGAGCTTGTTTGTGTTGGTATGTGTGTGTGTGTGGCGTGGGTGCTGCTGTGTGCGTGTATGGTGCGTGTTCGGGACAGCAGGCAGCAACTTAGTTGCCATAATTTTGCACATTTTAGCAGGCGACGCATGCAAGCGACAGCTGATCCCTAGCTACGCACCCTACCGCCCCCACCACGCCCCGCTCGCCAGCCGCCTTCTCCTGGCATGATATACGAGTCGCATGCTTTTGATGGCTGCACAAATTGCACTAAATATTCACACACACACGCACACACACAGAGAGAGAGCAACATCGTAAATATTTTACAAAGAGCAGAAGAAGATGAAAGAGGAAAATACCGCCCGCTGCGTTTTTTTGTTGTTGTTGCCTTTTCTCTTTGCCCTTTTCATTTTCCACTCGAATTTCCCGCTGAAAAGAATGTTTGTCACATCAATGTGATAGCTCAAAGCCAAATGACAGTCAAATAGTCGTGAAATTCTCTCGTTTTATTGCAGTTTAATTTCAATGTGGGTCATCAACAAGCCAGGTACAGTGTTCACTCGCTAGTGTGAGTGCGCGCTCTGTCGCGATCATCCTCAACGTCTCAGGTACAGGGAGCTGTAGGGATACGCGCTGTAGGCATAGGGCGATGCATACACGCCGCTGGTGTAGGCGGCTGTGTAGGGCGAGGCGTAAACGCCGCTGGTGTAGGCGGCCGCATAGGGCGTGGCTGCCACATAGGGTGCGCTGTAGGCCAGGAATTGGGGCTTGGCGGCGGCCAGAGCGACAACGGCGAACAGGCAGAGAGCGAACTGTGAATGGAGAGAGAGTAGTTAGTTAATGGTTCATGAACTAGTGGTTCAATGGAGCAGCAGGTAAAAATATGCAAGCCCTATGCAATAAAGAAAAGGCATTGAATGCGTGAACTAGTTCAAAAGAACTAGTTCAATGAACTAATTCAAAAGAACTAGTTCAATGAACTAATTCAAAAGAACTAGTTCAATGGCCTAGATCAAAAGAACTAGTTTAATGAACTAGCTCTTTTGAACAATAAATTTAAGGTGTTGACCAGAACTAGCTAAAAAGAACTAGTCCAATAAACTAGTTCAAAAGAACCAACTAAATGAACTAGTTCCAGTACACCGGTTTTTTTTATAAGTAATTCTCCTATTGTAACTCCTACAAACTAATATTTCCTGCTCTAATGTCGTTCCAAATTTTTTCCAACATTAAACTAGTTGATTTGAACAAATGTAGTGGAAATGTTATTTCGATTTGCTATGCGATTTTTTAGTTCCATTATTCACACCAATTGTTATATGAAAAGTTCATATATAATAATTGATCACACTTGATCATTGTGAACTAGTTCCAATCGAATTCACTATATAACCTCAGTCAAATCACTATGAAGGAACTTATAGTCACAACTATTTTCACACTTCCTTCACTAGTTCCATTATCCTGCTCAACTGGTTCACTTTTGGAGCTACTTACAAACTTGAACATCTTGATTTTGGATTGGGTTGTTACTGCTTGTGTATGACAAACTGATATGATTTGTAAGCCCAACTAGTTGTCGCTTTTATAGTCCAAAGCCCAGCGCCGACGTCAGAAATCGAACAGAATCTGATAAATCGGACCAAGTCATGATTGACCATGGCACGTTCCGCTGGATTCGGTAGCTCATTTGATTTTCGTTGTTGTTTTTTATTTATTATTTAATTTAGCTGTGGGCCAAAAGTATGTGGGCTTTATGTGTCTCTCGGGTCGTGCGCTGCATTTGTAATAGGCCATAAGCTGTGTGTGTTTTTTTTTTTTTTTACCCATTTTCTGTTTACAYTTGGGCCTCCCAAATCGGAAGTAATAAAAAAAAAAACTGAAGAAAATACTGGCAGAAAACCCCAAATGCTGCACTGTTCATTTGCTTGCCGGGGCCATGCACAATTATCGTGCCCTGTAGTTGGGCTAATTTGAAGGTCCTTGCCTAATAACTCGAGGACAGTCGAATTGGGCCCATTCGTAGCTGACTACAGTGGAGACTAGCTGGTAGGGAGCTGAAAGTGCTTTGAGAACTTTTATGGACTCTACGTGCTTGAGAGAACTATTCGGAACTAGATATTTCGAATGGATTTTTATTGTCATATGTAAAATAAAATGTAAATTTTCATTCAGTTTGTATGTGTTTTATACAATATATATCTTCAATCTCTGTACGCCCATATGTCAAAAATATTTATAAAATATATTCTGATGCTGAGCTTATATATAAAATAAAAGTTCTAAAGCGAACTTTCTTAATACTGTTTTAACTGTTACGTAAGAGTATGAACTCTTTTGACTATCAAGCGTCCGCATTAGTTAGGCTTTACTGTCTGCCTTGAGTCCCCGACCAGGCTAATTTGCAGACATTTTTCGCCTATTTGAAGTGCTGCTAGCCAGGCTCAAACTCAGCCCATTGTCTATAAACTTTTCATCACTTGAGCTCTTTGTATACTAGATGTACTCAATATATATGTATATACACTAAATATATATATGTATCTATGTATATGCATATATTCAATTTGTCAAGTTGTTAAATTAAAGCAGCTTGGCTGGCAGCAAGTCCTTGGTGCATCCTTTTGTCTTAGCCATGGCAACGTCTGTTGCTGTCGCTGTTTCTCCCTTCTTCTTCTTCTTCTTCTTTGCATTTTAAATCCGACATAAATTTAGTTGGCAGCTCTTCATTCTGATATCTCGACAAATATTTCAATGTCTGCAATGTCGCTTTGTCTAGATCTCATAGTTAATTTTGTTAAGCAATCCCAAATTGTTAATGGCATTTGCTTTCAATTGCAGCAAAAGCTCTTCAAATTATTCAAAATGTTTTGCAAAATGGGAAAATTGAAGGGCGAACTAGTGAACTAAAGTCAGTGAACTACTGCCAGTTCTTTTAAACCTAACTCTTTATGGGAATTGCAGAATTTATGAGAATTCTTTAAGATGTGAAAGTTCTTTGAGAAATACTGAACTAGTTCAAGTTCACTCAAAGCTGAATTAAGATCAACAAATGACAGAGAAAGTGAACTAATATGAGTGCTTCAAAAATATAATAGGTACAAAATGAACTAGTAAATACGAATCAGTAAACTAAAACGACTTCTTGCAATAGAGAACTGAATGAGAAATGAGCTAGATCTCATTTCTAGAATGTGGAGGTGCATAAAAAATAAGCTACTGACATTTGAACTAGTTCCAGAGCCTGAAAACTTCAAAATCGGTGTGAACTAGTTACAATGAATTTTAATGGGAAGAAAAAAAAAAAAAAGATAATGAAATTGATTTAAAAAAAAAWATATATTATATATATTTACACTTATTTCACTTATTTCCATTCTATTTTGACAAATTTCTATGCGTACGTTGCATTTACTGAAAATCCCTCCCAATTATTTATGTATTCAAAGCTCTGCACTCCTCTCTTCTCCACTCAGTCTCTCTTCTGTCTCCCTCACTCTTAATCATAGTTCAAAGCATTTTAAGTAAACCTACAAACAAATGCCCTCACACGAAGCAAAAACTCTTCAATTATTTACGCATAATTCACTTCAAAATTAAACTGCCCGAAGACAGTTTGAGAGCCACTGTTCAGTTGCTAATTTCTCGCATGCTATACAAAACACACAACAGTCTGTAGCGCGCTGTTAACTCTGCAGTGGCTCTGCAACTGTTGTTGTTGTGTACGCTCGCTCTCTGTTTGTCTCTCTCTCTCACTCTTGCGCCTGCGCTCTGGCTTGTGCCGGCATTTTACCAAAACAATTCCTAGACAGACACTCACACATAAGTCTACCCCGCCCACCGTACCCGCCCCTGGGGCTTGCTTCCGTTTCCTGTTCTATATATGTACATATATGTGTATACTATATATGGGCCGCATCTCCAACTGTAATTTGAAAATGAAAACAAAAATAAATTAGATCTAAAAATAGATTAGGAATTTGAAATTTTCCAAGTAGTTTTCGTATTTTCTTTTAGGAAATGCCACAAAAGATTGCGTGTAGCAAATGGAATAGAAGAAACACGGTAAATTGCTTTTGAAGTGGAGTAAAAACAAAACAATATTAACATTTCATTTTTGATTGCTCCATTTGCTTGGGAAATATGCTTATTGGGTTGGGGGTGGACTGGGCTGGGATGTTTATAGTTAGTGATGGGAATTAAAGCAGATATTTAACTATGCGTGTATATGTGTATGTGTGTGTGGATTATTGTCTGTGCTGGTCATTGGCTCATCGCTAATTGGAATGAGACTAGATGTGTGTGTATGATTGCGGTGGGGCGAATAGGCGAGTGGGGAACAAATTTTAATGGGAATTTACGCATTTTAAGTGGAATGTTGCGAAACTTCCATGCATTTGAATTGGGCTGCTCGAAATTGCCAATTACTATTAATACGTGTGTACAAAAAATAATTTTAAATGTCTCATAAATGTGTAAACAACAAAGAACCGCTATTAATCATTGGCTAATATTAATAATCTCTACAATCAAAATTAATCATTACTGATAACATTTCACAATCAATAAACATATGAAATCAAAAACGATATTTCCCGTTCATTTTTATTTATAATTAGCTCTGTCGGCTAATTAAGACCCTCTCCGAAAATTTTCAATTGTCTTTGCTTTTGTTCTTGTTGTTTGTGTTTTGTGTATGTTTTGCTTTGTGGGAATTATGTTATTCACATGCCGCTCGCATGCTATACAATTGTAAATGGCTCTACCGCTGTCTCTCGCTCTTCCATTCTATACGTTTGGCACGCTCAGCTGGCGATGTTGCCAGACTGTTAAATTGTGGATTGCTTGATATTTATAATCTGTAAAAATTAAGTTAGTAGTGATATATGACTGCAGTCAATAAATACATTATAATTATTAAGTATAATATTAATTAAGCTTATAAATAATTAACTAATCTAATTACGATTATTAATCTGTATAATATTTGCCGCTAAGACTTAACATAAAATGAGCGCGCTGTTAAGTTAACAGACCTGCTCAGAAACAATCGCGCGAGCGGGAGAGTAACTTATCGTTGAGAACAACAACAAAGCTGTTGGTAAACACTAACACACACTTACGTCTGGCTAGAGATGAGCGCAGAGTGGCACTGACGGCCACTTGTGAATAGCCGTGACTGTTTGAATATTTTATTACTTTAATATAAAAACAAAAATATATATAACTATGATAAAAGCAACATATTAAATAAAATATGTTGATATTATTTCATAAGTAAAAAATGTATTTAGATGTATGCTAATGTGGGTTAATTGACAAACTGCTACCCGTGAATGCGTGAGAGCGGTTTCATATGTGTGTGAAATAACATGTATGCGATTATTATTCATCACTGTTGATGTTCGCCTCTCTCTTGGCGGAGTGTGCACGAAGCGAGTCGAAAAAAAACCGTTGAACGAGTTGGACGCGCGGTCTGCGGTTTAAGCAAATACAAACGCAAATGGACGCCAAATTTGTTGTTAAAATTAATTCAACTAACTAAAAAATGTTGGTTTGACGAAATTATATTATTGCCGTTGTGTGTTTCAACACATTGCGTGTTTCTATTGCGCGACGCGTTTCCAGTGYGTTTGTGTGTGTGTGTGAGTGTATTTGTGTGCAAGTACATCTGTATGTTGTGCATTAATAAAATATTAGTAAATCATTAATGAGCAAAGCTGAAAAGTCAACACGCAAATACTTGCGAAATTATTATCGCCAGCTGCAGGGCAAGTGTAAGTGAAAGAGTAAGAAGAAGAGGAAGAGAGCGGAACAGCGACGCCGCCGCAACGGCGGGTAAACAAATGGCAGCGTTCTATGGAATGTGAAGGCAAACGAACAACTAGAAGAACAAGCAGAAGAGCGTAAGACACGAGAGTCCGAGCGAATATGTGGAAAAGAACGGGATAGGGATATATAAAAACAACAACAGCAGCTTGTGCTCAATCAAAAATTGGTTTTTCATTTCAATATCGAATCGAAAACAAAGTGCAAAAGGCAGCAACAACTGAGACAGCAATAAAAATATAAAAAAAAACTACTAAGCGCCAAAAAGAAAATCCGGTTTTACAACTTCTGAAGCCGACGTCGCATTCTGCGCTGCTGCCGTTTCGTCTCTCGTTTTTTGTTGTTTTTTTCTTGTCTCGCGTTTTGTTGCATGCATTGTGTTGAAAATTCCATAAAAATTTGTTGAAAACTGCAGGTGTGAATTAAATTTTCAATGAACCAAACGAAACTGACAAATAAATAAAAATAACGAAAGCAGATGCTAAACGTCAGCGCTGACGTCGGCAGCGCAGTGTACAGGTGCCAGCAGCAGCAACAACAACAATAACAGTTTTTCTATTTCTGTTATACACAAACAGCAACAACAACAACAGCGGTAGCAGCAGCAGCATCAGCGACGTCGACGTCAGCGTCGACAGCAGCCATTTGTGTATTAATAAAAAAGGCAGCATAAAATATTTATGAAAAAAGTGAAATCAATAACAAAACAAAAAGTGAAAAAATCAACAACATATTTAAACAATCTATTATTAAA